CACGTGCCCCGACTGGGGCTGGGGATGGAGCCTGCAAATGAGGTACGTGCCCTTGGCCAGAATTGAACCCGGGACCCTTCGGTCCACGGGCCAGCACTCTAACCACTGAGCCAAACCGACCAGGGCTGTTAGTGGTTCCTTACATGTCTGTTAGCCAGAGAGGAAGTAGGACATGGCCAGCCTGAGATTTCAGACTTCAACCCACCATGCCAAAAGTCATGTGATTTTTTTCACTCTTATGCCTTGGCCTCAGAAGAGGGTAGATAACTAGCTCTTCCTCTGATAACACCTCCAGTCTATGAACCCAAGTCCCTGTGAGCTGAGAAGTCCATTAACTAACCTGCCGAAGACCTGTCTCGCCAATGCAGACTGCCTCTCACTCAGCAGGGGTGTGCGAGGGCGAGTGAATGAGAGAAAATGGATTAATGAAACACCAGCGGGGCATCTGGGGAAGTGGAGATGAGCCCCATGGTGGGAGAGCAGGTCAGAGGTCCCAGCAACACCTGGACAGTAGGTCCTTCCACGAGTGAGGAAAACTCTGCCGCATCCGTCTTCAGGATGCTTTTCTATTCTTTCCTTTTCGATGAATTAGTGAGCTGCCTGGCAAAAGCAGGTAAAGAAAGAAGTCCCTGGCCTAAAGTCCTTGGAATATAGGTTTCTGAAATCCTTTTGTCCCCTTAAAACATTTCAAAAATAGTAAATGAAACTTTGAATGGTAAAGTAATAAAAACTCAAACAGCAGAAAGCAGCTGCTTAAAAAAATCAATTCATGAGAAAGGCTGCTCAGCCCAGCCGGGCGTGGCTCAGCGGTTGAGCGTTGACCTAGGATCCAGGAGATCGGGGTTTGATTCCCGGTCAGGGCACATGCCCGGGTTGCGGGCTGCAGCTGATCAATGACTCTCTCATCATTGATGTTTCTATCTCTCTCTCTCTCCCTCTCCTCTCTGAAGTCAATAAAGATATATTTAAAAAGAAGAAAAAAAAAGGCACAAATTTCCTCAAATAGAATTACACATAAAAAATGCTAGTTTACTGTATACACAGAGAGGTGTGCTCCCAAAGACAAAGCAGGGAAGGGGTTGGGGACACTTCAGAAACGCCCAGTGAAATTATTCCTGGGAAGGCTCTTTAGTTACTATACAGTGTTTTGGAACAAATTAAGTTGTGCATAAAGACACATTATGGGCAGAGCAACTAATGGGCAGGATCACTGAAGGGTGCAGTACAAGGACACCCCGGAAAGAGCCAATGGCGAGGACTCCTGCAGGATGTGCCCTGGGGGCATGTAAGATATTTATGGTGACTCTTTTGTTTATAGTGCTTAGAGGACAATCATGTCTTGTTTGCTCCTGAATCTTTGGTTTTGTCTTAACTTTTATGTAATTGTACATTATTGTAGGAAAAATGGGAACAAAGATGGGTCAGGAACTCCCGGGCTGGGGGAAAGGCCATAGAACATTCTCTGCTACGGATGAAGGGTTGGACAAGTGGAAAAAAACATTTGCCAACACCTGACTTTTAAGAGGAACTTTCTTTGCCCTATGGGCCTGAGAAAGCTTAATGGTCACTGAGATTCATTCATCGGTGGAGGAAACTAGAATAAACCCATTAGTTCTTAGGTAAGTGATGTACTTCACTGGCACTGAAAAATAGTGCTGGATCTGAAATGCACTTTGTTCCAGAGGATATTACAACTTTCCAACAGTAGGAAGATTTCACAACTGACCAGATATTTCCCTGTGTGTGTGTGTGTGTTATTTTTTTTCTTGCTATGTTTATAAAGCTCTGGTTGCATTCACAATTTTCCAGGAAACTGGTGTCAGGTAACATCCCCAACGTGAACAGTTACCTCTAGAGAGCAGAGTTTTATCTGGCGCTGAAAACTTGCTGGTTGGTTGTGTAAATACACATTTATTTTCAGTTCAAAGACAAAACAGCCAACTCCAGAGTGAGAAAATGTTACTTTTTATTTCATACTCTTTTAATCGCTGGGTCCCCATACAATAAACATTCTCAAGTGTAAGCAGTGGGAAATAATGTAAACTCTGCAGAAACAGAAAATAAATTAGTTTCTTTTAAACTTGGTGGAGGTCCTTTCACTGAACACTATGCTCGGCTGCAAAGAGAATTCGTCCCGAAGGGAGAAATCTTTGGCCTGTTCTACCATTTCTCCAGCGTTGCGTAACAAGTGTATTTCAAATTCATTTTCTTCTCCAACTGTGGCCAAAAGGCAAGGAATAGTCTGAGTTTCAGGAGCCTGAAGAATAGGAAAAAAAAAAAAGTTTAAGAACAGCTTTTCCCCTGGTGTTAAACTGTTAATATTTGATAGCTCTACAGCTGGAGACTAAAAGTTCAAGGGCAGATAAATGATTCTATTCATGGGAGAAGGCTGAGACCACTGTTTGCAACATTTTTACTCATGAGCAGCGGAGAATCCGGAGAATCCGGTTCTGCACCACTGTGACCAAGTCAGACGGGCACTGCAGGCAGTATTCTAAGTGTCATAAAGACAGTATTACTCGGGGACCATGGCAGAAGTTCCACAACTTTTAAATGTAGGATCTACAGTCTCCAGGATCCTGTTGAGTGAGAACGTTCAGGACGTTAGATTAGGAGTCCTGCCGCCTTTTGATTTCAGTTTCTCTTTATAGCAGGCACAGACAGCAGGCTCTGAAAAATGCATTTAGGATAAGAAAGGAAGTGAGCCGACTAGGACTTATTACTGTTAGGGCTCGGCGGCATTCTCTCACAGGCTCTGAAGACTTTCTGCCACCGCTGAATCCTGCAATCTTTTAGAATGAGAAGTGATCAAACTATATTTAAAAGAACAAACAGACAAACCACCTAAGTTCCAGAAAGAAATGCGTTCACTACTCCAGAAGAAATGTAAATGCAAGCATTTCTCTACTGGGCCAAGAGTTCAGACTCGGCTGGATAGAGCAAGTGGGCCTCCCACAGATGAGGGAGGGGTCTGGAGCCCAAAAGGATGCTTATTAGCTGCAGTACCTAAAACAGCGATGAGGGCAGAAGACTGTGAACTGCGAATATTCCCTCACATCTGAGTCAAGTCAGGGAAGTAAATACAGCAGAAACACTGCCAGCATAATAAACATTAACAAGAGAATACTGGAGATGTAGGGGGAGGGAGGTTTGTACGGTGCGGACCTCACCCCTCTGCTCAGACAAGGCCAGCCTCACCTTGAGAAGGCTCGGAGACTCTGGGGAGGAAAGAGGGAGGCTGGGGGCCTAAGGGAAGGGGAGAGGAGGGTGGTCTGGGGGGACAGAGATGACCTGACACACGGCAAGGCTGGGACAAGGCCTACACCTCTAGGGGCAGGGTGCGTGGGTGTGGTGTGTGTGAGCAGCCGAGCAGCCATGTAACCTCCGTAGCCCATGGATTTGTGTTTAAAGTGCTCAGAGTCTATGGTTCAACATTTTAAGAAAACCTGAAGGGCTGGCAGACGTAGATGTAATAGTCAAGATAAGAATGTGAAAATGAATCAGCATACTGTTTAATCAGTGGAAGAAAAACAATTTTAGAAGTTTATTCAGTGGGTGAATATTTTGGAAGATGGAATATATAAAGCATTTTATCTTGGTATGGGAACAGTAAGAAATGTAGAGGGGCCCAGATGCACAGAAGAGGAAGAGGCGGAGTCACTGACCACAGAGGCTGAGACTGGAGTGAGGCGGCCGCAGGTCAAGTTCTGGCAGCCACCAGGAGCAGGGGGAGGCGAGGCATGGATTCCAGAGACTCTGGAGGGAGGGCAGCCTCTCCCCTACCTTGATTTCGTCCTACTAATTCTGACTTCAGACTTTTAGCCTCTAGAACTGCGAAAGAATAAATTTCTGGCATTTTAAGCCACCTAGTAATTTGATACAGTAGCCATAGGACATATATACCATTAGGGGATGGGAGAATTAGCTCTCTCTCCTCTTTATTAAACAAAGAAAATTCCCCTTTGTTTACACCCTTATATTATTAGTAATAACACTTGGCTCTTGGCTCCTCTTTGCTAAGGATAATAACATTGGTTCCCATTGCTGAATAACAGGTTAAAGTTAAGTATGCTACCAATGTGACAGTAAAATAAAAACAAAAGAGTTAACCTCCATAGTACTGATAAAGTTGATGATGACATATTTTGACTATTTTTTTTAAAGCCTGAAAAGTGAATAATTTAGAATCACTTATGAGATTCTTTTGAGATTTGCTTTTGAAATGAGGAGAGTTTAATCTATTTATTTCTCTTATTAGTGAAGCTAAATGGTAGGCACTAGGTGCTGATTAGCCAGTTTGAACTCTGGTAAAAATGTCCTTTGCAGTGGAAAGAATATCAAGTTCATAGCATTTGGTTAAAACTTCCCCCACCTTACAAATTCTAACTTTTCTTAACTAAGCAGTAGACAGATTATAATGAATGCCATAATGGAACTTTTTCTGATTTTTTTTTTTTTTTGCAAATAATTGTTGTTGGCGGCAAATAATTTCTTCTATTTTTGATGAGCTAACCATGTATAGATTTAGTTATCAGAAAAATTCTGTTTTTCCTGAGTTTGCTGAAATATTTATTATTTCCCTTGTGTTATGTTTAAGAAAGAAAAAAAATGATTAGTTTCTCCCCCAATCCCTAAAAAAGTGTTCAGAAAAACTTTCTTTAAAAGGGAATTAATAATTCAAAACTGCTAAGCTTCAAAACATTCCATTTTAGTTAGGAAAGATTTACTTACTACCATCTCTTAGATGTCAATGAGATGTGAAAGGTGTCACCTTTAGATTTAATTATCACCCTCTTTTATTTAAGTCACTTGGGCTTCCAGCCTATTTTGGTCCATCTGGAAATGGGAGAGGAGCACGCGCTACTCTAAGGACGTGGGTGGTGAACTGAGCACAAGGGTGAGGCACCATTTTGGAGCTGCTCCTTGAAAATACAGAGATTCAAGACCAAAACCATGGAGCCCAGGTGTCCTCCCAGGGAACCCCAAAACCTTGTGGTTGGCAACTTGGGGATAAGAGGTCCTGTTCCCAGAAGGGCTGCAGGCAACAACAAAACTCAAGATTAATTGATGACTATTAAATATCACTGAAAATTTCTGCTCTTAAGGCAGTTTAGGGGAGAAATGAGCTTGTATTATACTCATTTTCGCATGTGCAATCCAAGAAAAACAATTTTTGGGTAAATAACCACCATTTACAGCAGGACCAGAGTCAATCTGATCTCACACTAAATACGACTGTGTACATCAGAACAAAGCAGAGCGTCTGAATTCTTCAGGAAACCTGCCAGTGTTTGCTGTGCTCATGTGAATCCTGCCAAGGATCAGAAATATGATGAAGTTCAGGATGAGAAACCCACAGTGGGGGAAAGAACCACCCTCCCTAAATCCAATCATCTTCAAACAAAAGGCTGAGCGGTAGAAGGATCAGTTTCACTGGGACAAGCAACTGATTTTAATTAGTTCTTTTTGGTGACATCCAAAAGAATGAATCACGCCCGGACTGTAACAATAGTGAATGCACCACAGGGAGGCCTTGGGGACAAGGAGCAAGGGCTCAGATTCTGGGGATTCCTGGCACCTCCAGTTCACACTAAGTCTCACACAGTTTCCTAGAGGGTGAGGCAAGCAGGAAGGAGAGGAAGCAGAAGGGAAGAAAGTCAGCACTGCTGAGTGAGGTCCTCTTCCACGTGGGACACGCCAGCCACACGTCCCCCTGAGGGCAGAGAACATCGGGAGTCTGACTACTATGTGAGTCAAGCAACCGACCGGACATTTCCTCTTCCGATGACCAAATTTGTCCAAGTTGACTATCATCCAAGCTTGGACGGTTCTATTTTGTGCATTTTTAATAGCCACAGACCTCTGACCGTCAGAAGTGGTCCCTGATGACCGTATGTGAGAGGCCACAGGAAACAGAAAGAATGGTTGCGGGGTCATTGGATCGAGGAGTCCCTGAGAAGGAATGTTTGCTTTGTATGGTGGTTTTATCTTGCGACACCGGATCCACTTTCAATTGTTCATGCAGGGTAAAGTGATGGGTTTTGAACCACTGCCCACCAAGCCTAGACCAGGATTTGGCAGTTCACAAAGAAGAAAATGGTTTTGGGTAGGAGAGTGGGAAAGTGCCGTTCAATGGGGGAGTTAAGAGATAGCTCTGTTATACTTTGACTACAAAGAATTTTGACTAAGACATAGTTTTTAATACCCAAATAATGATCTTTTGTTATTAAAAAAAGAAATCACCGGTTATCCCGGAATTACAGGTGTGTTCAAATAGCTGACTATCATCTTTCAGAAGGGGCTGGAGTTCATTTACCCCATGACCGAAACGAAAAGGACATCCTTTAGTTTGGGGCATAAAGGATAGGGTGAGACAGAGTAAGCAGATCTGGGCTGAGTCTTGGCTTTTATACTTATTAACTGTGCAACTTGAGCAAGTTGTTGACCTCTCTGGGCCAAAGTGTTCAGAGCTCGGAAGTGAAAGTACCACCCATCTCCCTGGGTTGATGCCAGCATGACATGTGATGAGAGGCTGAGCAGTGGAAAGAGGGTTCTACAGCCCAGTGGAACAGGGTGCTCCTCACCTACCCCCTCTCAGTGATCACAGAGGAAGGACCTAATCTCTTGGGATAGCACCTGCCTCCAAGGAGTGCTAGGACCACCGGGGCAAGGTGCCCAAAACAGTGCCTGGCGTGCTGGAGGTCATACCACAGGCCAGAGTCCCAACCCCTGCCCTGCTCAATCGTTAAATAAAACAGAGAGGAACACTTGTCAGGAAACACGCACATAAGGGTTTAAGTGTATGTAACGGTAAAGACAAGGACGCGTGCAGCAATTAAGGTGTAATTGGGTTTATACGACCTACTTGGAGAGAAAATGAAAATGGACCAAAAGGCGGAAAAACTACTATCCAAGGGAGATGCAAGGAGTGCACACTTGTCTGGAGAAAACATGACAGACACAGACATGCAGCATAATGGGTTCTTGACGTGGAGGGAGATTAGGCAGGACGGGCCAATTTCAGGTTAGGAGAAATGATATTGTTAGTTTCCCAGCTGGGAAAGTCAAGATAGTCACTCACTCTCACTCTCTCTCTCTCACACACACACACAGTCATACCAAACGACCAAAATAACACCTATCAAAACTCCAGTTGAGCTCGGCGAGCACGGCTCAGTGGTTGAGCATTGACCTAGGATCCAGGAGATCAGAGTTTGATTCTGGGTCAGGGCACATGCTCAGGTTGCGGGCTCAATCCTCAATGGGGGGTGTGCAAGAGGCAGCCAATCAATGACTCATCATTGATGTTTCTCTCTCCCTCCTTCTCCTTTCCTCTCTCTGAAATCAATAAAAGTATATTTAAACCCCAAAAAGCTCAAGTTTATAGGCCTTATTGTTAAAAAAAAACCCCGAACCTTCCTTTAGTTCACTTTCTGGAGTTTTCTTTTTCAGAAATGACAAAGATAGGAAATGTGCTTGTGGTTAAATCTAAATACAGCCCCCAATCCCCAGCAAAAAACACACAGAAACAGTCAATACAAAATGCCACACGCAACCCAAACCAAGCAATTCCACCCCATGTATTAATGTCATTTCACAGACGTGGTCCCTCACCCTTTTCATCACAGCCCAGGTTGTTAGTGTTTAGTAACAAAGACATAAAAAAACCAGTCCCCACACTGACTTCTTGGTAGTGAAACAAGTGAAAGCGAGGACCCTGAGTGCCTGGCTTAGGGCCACATCTCTGGGACAATCAGAGAGAAGGGTCTTCAGGTCAAGCACCCTCACTGGGAGGGCACAGAACTTGCCAGCACAGGGGAGGGGCGCAGGACTAAGGAAGAGGAATGGCCTGAGCAGGAGAGCGAACTGGGAGTGCTCTGGGGGAGGGATGCATCTTGAGAATATGAGGAGGACTCGCTGGATATACGGGTGGGGAAAAGCAGCTGAGTCTTTAAAGCTTCTGACTGGGAGTGGTCCAGGCAGGAGGGTGGGGAGGGCGGTCATTTTTCTTCAAGACAGGAAGTGAGGAGAGAAGCTAGCAGGCATGGTCACAGGGGGAAGGGCAGACACGAGCAAGGTACAGGGGCCCCCCGCTGTGGCTGCCCATACCAGCTCCAAGTTCAGCCCAACCCTCTGAAACTCTACAAAGAGCCATCAATGGTGTCTAATTTCTGTTGCCCTATCTGCCCAAGACTCACAGAGCCCTTGGAATGAGCCGTCCCATCTCTGTGTGTCTTTCCAGAGGCAAGAGTACAATCCACCTGTTGAGCCACAGTTGAGTATTATGGGTTGAATGATGTCTCCTAAAAGCTACACTGAAGTCCTGACTCCCAATCCAGTACCTATGACAGTGACCTTATCTGGAAACAGGGTCTTTGCAGATGTAATTATGATGAAGTCAATAAGCTGGGGCCCTAATTCAACGTGACTGGTGTCCTTACAGGAAGAGGATGCCACACGAAGACGCGTGCACAGGGAGAATGCTATACGGCCATAGAGGCAGGGACTGGGGTGATGCGGCTATAAACCAAGGAACGTCAAGGATTGATGGCAAACACCTAAGCTGGGCAGAGGCCAGGAAGGATCCCAGCAGTCTCGGGGGGTGCATGGCCCAGCCGACACTCTGACCTGGGATTTCTGGCCTCTGGAACTGGGGAGATACGTTTCTGTTGTTTAAGCCGCCCGGTTGTCATGCTCTGTTACAGCCGCCCTAGCAAACGGAGACAGCAAGATCCTTCTATCACATGGTTCTGACTGCAACCAAGAGACATGTGGTCCTTGAAAATGACAGCAGAAAGCAGTCTTAATTATGGAAAAAGGATTATGGGTGCACAGGGTTCTGTTGTTACGGGAAGAGATGCCTTAACCAAACCCATATTCACAGAGGGATGATCCGGCTTTCACCATCTAACTGCACACCCACCCCCCACAGTGACTCTCAAGCCACGGGCTGTTATTAGGAAGGAATTCGTAGTAACCAGCTCAAGGAGTTACTTATCAGACCATTTTTGTTAGAAATATTAAAAAATACCACTAAAAAAGATTTGGAAAAAGAAAGGAAGTAGTAGCAGAAAGCAGAAGAGCCCACCTGAATCAGGCCCGCGAGGGTCTCGTTCATTTAGAACAAGCCTTTAACTTGCTCTGTTTCCGTATCAAGATCGATGTCGTAAAAGCAGGGCCGCGTGGGCAGTCCTGGCATGGTGCTCATCTGGGGGAGAAAACACAAGTATTGTACATCAGCAAACGCTGCTGCGTGACCCTGTGCATCTCAAGACAATTAACTGTACAACTCAATTCAGCTTTATCTGACTCAAGTTACGTATCCATCCATCTCTTAAAATTCACCGTCTGCTATTTCAATCTTTAAGGAAATGAAACAGAAAAGGCAAATGTCAAACTTTTGAAGACTGAGACCATTTACTTTGCCCCATGGTCCCCTATAGACTGTAGCTCCAAAACAGTGAGTTTAAAACTTTTTTTTCCTAAATCGAATCTTAATGCTGAGCCCCAACAAAGATGAGCTCCTCTGGTTGATGGGGACAGTGGGTGTGGGTGGAGTGGATGGTGGCTTCCTCCTCACCCCCAATTACGGTGCCCAAGACACATTTTTGTAAGAACAACTCCTGGAGCACAATTTATGAAGTCCTGCTCTCTGGAGAGCAACCAAGCCGGCCTACCTCAGTAACAAGCACTGTTTTTTGAGAACTTACCACGTCCCAGGCACTGTTGCATTCCTTCCTTACTTTGCCCTCCCAACAACACTATGAGACAGGTACTTAAAAAAAATCTTTACTGATTTCAGAGGGAGGAAGGGAGAGGGAGAGAGAGAGAGAAACATCCATGATGAGAGTCACTGATTGGCTGCCTCCTGTGCACCCCCTACTGGGGATGAGCCTGAAACCTGGGTATGTGCCCTGAACCGGAATCAAACTGTGATCTCCTGGATCCTAGGTTGATGCTCAACAGCTCAGCCACACCCGGCGCGGCAAGAAAGGTGCTTTCATCATGTCCGTGTTACAAGGAAGATAACAGAGGTTGTGAGAGGTTAAATCACTTGCTTGAGGCCATACAGGTCTAATAAGAAGCAACACTAGAAATCTGACTCCATGCCTGTGATCTCAGACGACTCAGTGGCCACCACTGGGGCCTCTACATGGATAACTTAATTGAGTCTCCCCGCCCTGAGAGAGACGTTCAGGCTTTAGCCCTACTTTGTGGATGAAGACAGTGAATTTTAGGCACAAAGGCAAGTACTCAGGGACACAGCTAGTTAGTGTTGGAAACAGGACGAGACCAGGCTCATGCTTTGCTGCATCATGTCCAGATCAGAGTCCAAAGTGTGTTCTTTGCCCACCTGCATCAGAAACCCTGGGTGTGCTGGGGAAGATTCCCAATTTCCCCCTGGTGGTTCTCGCACCAAAACACTGGTCTAGGACCTAGATGGTGAGGCTCCTGGATGACCCACTTCTATTGGTTTTAGTGTTTCCTGCTGAGCTTTCACATGCACCTTTTATACAAAGGATGCTTGTAAAGCAAAGCTGCATCCCATGCTGCCGAGGAAAGACACCTGAGATTCTGCTCAGCCTGGCTCTTCCGAGGGCTAAGTGCTGAGTCAAGCAAACACGTCTGCCTGCTGGGCTGGAGAGCGCTCGGAGAGGAAGCTGCACCACCCCCGGCACTCAATGCCCTCCGCTCCTTCCCACCTGGCAAAAGTGCCCAGCCAGACAGGAACCAGATAAGGCCTCTGTGATAAAACTCATCTCTCATTCTCCACTTCCTTCTGCAGTGACTTGGATTTCTCTCTCCTCCACCCTCTCCTGCCCTTGTGATGTCGACAGATTCTTATTACGCAGATTGGGGTCTGTGGACCAGCAGCATTGGCATCACTGGGAGACGTTGGAAATTTGAATCTCAAAGCCCGAGGGGGCCTGCCAAATCAGAACCTGCAGTTTTAGCAAGACCACAGGTGATCTGTGTGCTCATTACAGTATGAGGAGCTCAGGCTCAGTCAATGGCCCAGGACACCTCTGACCCCACCCTGCTCACTCCCCTTTCCTGTGAGCGCCAGGAAAGGAAGCTCAGAGGCGGAGGGGTCTGTGCATCGCAGGCCTCATTAACCACCTGGACCAGGGGAGCAATGGGAAGTGCTCTCCACATGGCTGGATGCAGAAAACATTGTGACATACGGTGGCTCGCTCCTGTCTTGCTAACTGCACAGGATAGTACTTTAGATATATTATGGGTTAAAAGGCTTCTGGGACCCACCTGGAATATAGGTACCATTTATAACACGTCTTGGGGAAAATGTGCTTTGGATTTCAAGCAATAAACTACAAATAAGGTTTCAGTGCTCAACCTGCTTTTAGGTGGGGGCTTCCTGTATTTCAGAACTGTAGGTGCTTGGATGGCTACTTCTCTTGCTGAAGCTGCTGGTGTCCTAGTGAGAGGTGACATTTATCTCTGGTTACTACAGCGGCTGCGCATATCCGAGGAGATCCCAGAAAAAAACCTAGGCTCACTGCATTGGCACCGGGACACCAAACACAAGAGACACTGGGTGGGAACTGCTCCTGTTTTTCCCTGTTGCCTGAGTATAACTCACATGTCAGGTGCTCTACGGCAATTCTCCTGCCCACCCACATTCTGACACGGGCATTTTCAGATGCCTCTATAATCTGGGCGGGGCTATGGGTTCAGAAAAAGGAACCAGCATTTTAAAGTTGGAGAGAAAGGAATGATCATACTCAGTCACAGCGATGCTGCTGCAGCCCGTAAATTAACTCGACAGGACATTACCCAGAATTTACGGCTGCTGCTCCAAGGCGGGATCCAGTAGGAGGAAGGTTATGTCTAAATCTACTCGAGGTGAGAAAGCCCAGGAAGAGCCCGAAGGCAGTGTGTTTGGGCTCATCTGAACAAAGCTCCAACGGATGCTTCTATTGTGGATGACACACTTGCACCGCTTGCTTGTTTACACACTATTTTTGTAGACGTGAAAATGAACTTTCCACTCATGCAAAACCAAGACAGACAAAGGTGGAGCATGGTGCGTGGAGTTCTTGAAGCTGACCCATGGGCTGCAGAGAACCAGAGCATGCATCACATGGTCACATGGTCATCCTGGCACCATCAGAACTGGGAGCTAAAAGTAGCCAAATTGTAACTGCTGGGAAGTGTGAATGTCTTTACTCTATTTTCAGCTTATGGGGAAAAATGAGTTTAATTGCAAGATTCCCATGTTCGTTTCCAAGGAAGCAGTCATCAATTCCCAGAATCTGGAAGACTTATTTGGGATAAGCAACAACGGACAAGAAAGCACACAGAGTCTGCAGAGCTGAGGACTCCCTGACCTGTGGGCGAAGAGCCACCTCCAACAGAGCCACTCTTAAAATAAAACCCACCGAGCAGACACACTGCGCAATTACGTGAAGGAGCCCTAACACATTCCCGGCACATTCTCTCCCAATAAAAACCGGTATCCAAGGACCGCAGCCCCCAGGACAGCACGACAAGAAAGAATTCGGACGGCCCTTGGGAGATGACCTCTGGCCCCACGCCCACGGTCAGTGGTGATCTATGTTGACTTTATTTGTGTGCCCCCTAAGGAGGCCCTCTGCTTAAAATAACGAGGGAGCCACTAAATCGTACCTACTTGTCATGCTGCATTAATGGATTCCTTTACAAAGGCTGAAAAACATGGGCCTTTGACCTTCGTGACCCTCATTTTAACTATAATGAATCTTCCAAATCTTTACCAGTTTTAGGTTAAACTTCTTTTGGAGAAATTATGAGTTCTATGAACAGCCTTTATAAACATACATTAAAACTAGTAAATATCTAATCACTATGTTGTAACCTGAAAGTAACACAATATTGTATGCCAACTGTAATTAAAAAATAAAAAAATTAAAAAACTAGTAAAGAGAAAATATTCTTACACTTAAGAGTAGTCATTAGAAGTAGAATATTCTTTGGCACGAGTAGAAAAATTATTAAAAATTGTTTCATAGTGATAGAATCATAATTTCTATTTAACCAAAATATCATTATAGTCGTTAATTTTGTTGTGTTTGTGAAATAATTTCTTTTCTGACTTCTCCTTAAATCTACTGCATTTTCCTACTGAATAAATCACGCAGTTGTATTCTGGTTCAGAAAAGAAATGTGTTTTTACTTACACCTATTCTGTTCCTACAGTTCGCGGCTGGAGCTGGTATCCCTTCTACACTTTTCTTCCCTCCTCTAATAGAAAAGTGACAGAGCTAGTAGATATCACCTCATCTCAAAAATTTTAGAACAACCAACAGGACTATAATGGTTCACTACATTATGATACAGTTTAAATAAAAAGATTTAAAAAAATAAAATCATATAAAAAAATTGAAGTCTTTGTTAACCATTGCTTCTTGCCTTCTGGCCAAGACAATGTGTAAATATAGAGCCTGGCACCACCGGGCCCTCGATAAACACTTTTTGAAGTGGATGAGCACAGTGGGGCATGCCTAGAGGACTGGCAAACAAACTCTAAGAAAACTGCGAGGACTGGGCCTTTGGTTTCTTCTCCCCCTTCTTTGGATGTGAGGGATACAACCACTTATATTTAATGGCCATTTAGATAGTAAACAAGCTACTCTAAGCAGATGCATGAGGAAAAATGGCCCAGTATAGACATCTACTGACTGCAAGAAGCGAGAAGTATGAAAAATCATTGTAACGATGACAGACCACTGCTACCACTGGGGTCTCCAATTGCCTGGCTTGGTGGAGGCAGACGGTCCGGGATTTGTTTCTGGGCAGTTAGGTAACATCCATCTGCACAGCCTATGACGACCTTCAAAAGCTCATTTGTTACTACTTATTTATTTAAACACATTCTTTTTTTAAAAAAATCCTCACCCAACGATACGTTTATTGATTTTTTAGAGAAGGGAGAGAGAGAGAGAAGCACCGATGTTTGCCTCCCGTACTCGCCCTGCCTAGGGATCAAACCGCAACTGAGCTACGTACCCTTGAACGGAATCGAACCTGAGACCCTTCAGTCCAAGGGCTGACGCTCTAACCACTGAGCAACAGGCTAGGGCTGTTCCCGATTCTTATGGATGGTCCCTTCCTTGGCTTCTGGTCGTTTCTTCACACGTGCACCGATCGGCACTCACTAGAATACTCACTAGGATACCCCCTGCAGACCTTCAGAGCTCCTTCCTGTGT